GCGTTGCTCAGCAACAGCCCCGAAACCTGACAGATTTAGAGGAGATCTGTGTGGAGGAGTGGGCCAAAATCCCTGTTGCAGTGTGTGCAAACCTGGTCAAGAACTACAGGAAACGTTTGACCTCTGTAATTGCAAACAAAGGTTTCTGTACCAAATATTAACACTGATTTTCTTAGGTGTTCAAATACTTATGTTCAGCAGTGCAAGACAAATAAATTCCTTAAAAATCATACAATGTGATTTCCTGAATTTTTTTTAATTCTGTCTCTCAGAGTGGGAATCCACCTACAATGTGAATTTCAGACCCCTCCATGATTTCTAAGTGGGACAACTTGCAAAATCGCAGGGTGTTCAAATACTTCTGTTCCTCACTGTATAGTCAGATCCATATGCATTCAATTTCCAGACTTGCATCCAAGCTAAATCCTTATGGTTCTCATAATTTATCTCGCTGACATCAAGCCAGGGTTATATTTGTGTTTTCCGCATGTCACCCCAAATCACTGTGATGTGCAGAGTCTGGAACATTCAGTATGTAATTGATCTGATCCACACTGTGTATGAGTCACACAGCGTGACAGAAGGGTGAAGCTAACACACCAACCAAAGAGATATAGCATCTGCATTGCTGCAGTGGCTCTGCTGACACAGCAGAACAGGTCGGTGTTTTTTATTGATGTAGCAGAAATTACACTCTGTAAGAATACCCAAGAGGCCAGCAAGTAAAGTTTTGGCCTAAACTCCCAACAGCCAAAGCTGCTCATCCCAAATGCAGCATCCTTTGAGATTTAATCTTTGTGCAACAACTATCCTAAAATAAATGACACATTTAAAGTTGCAGAATGTGCGTTTAATATATTAGTGACTGATTTCTTGTGTATCTGCCAACAGCATGGTGGGTGATGTCTAAATCAATGGTGTAAGGTTATTAATACTCCAGCGGATGCTTTCCAAAAGTTTGTGGTCAGCCTCTGCATTTTTGTGTGCTTTCTTTCTTGGATGTAACAAAATCCATCAAAGTCATCAGTACACCTGTTTAAAATAGAGCTGCTCTGCACAGATAGAAAATAAGCACAATAGCTTCCAACAGATTTGTTCTTGTCATGTATGGTCTCACATACTATCAATGCAGTTTGCTTAGGCTGGCGAAGGACCTGTCTGCGTCCTTTACTGAGCCCGTCTTAAATAATATAACACACCTCAAGTCCTCTCTATGTGATCTTTGTGATCCATCCCACATTCTGTATTCATAATATGAACAGTTATGTTCTGGCAGACAACAAACAAACTGTCTGTTTCTGAGTCATTGATTATTTAAAATAGGGTAAATATAAGGTCATGGGATTGGTGCAATATAGTTTAATCCATTAGAGAGAGACCTTATTTTCTTTTTTTAAATTGCACTGCTGTGAACTGTTTTGTTTGTTGGCGTGTTCCCAGTATATATGATTAGTAAGTGATGGTGGTGGCATTCACATACACATGTCTCTAAGTGGATTACATTTAGGCCTGTAAAGCACTATTCATCACCTCATAGTGTGACCCAAGGAACGACTTAATTATGTTTGAGGGGGGTCTACTGATGTGCGTGCGCATTCATTTAGCAAGTCAGCTTTTTGGTCTTCTGCCAAACGCACGGCGCCGTGAAATCCTCCTGTGGAGATGGAAGGGATTTCATATGATACGCAATGAGCAAAGTATCTATAGCCCGAGTCCAGGCGCACCATTAAATATCGTATAATGGTGTCGACCACGATGGCCATAGGAACATTAATTTAACTTGGACCTAAAGAGCTGGCCTTTGATCACATATCTACTACAAATCATATCTGCAAAAGCTGCCTCTCCTACCTACCCTCCTGCAGTATGTGTGTGGGCTGCACAGCTTTGACTTTGTAGCGTCTCGCTCTCCATCCGGGAGTAGGAGCCTCAGATATCTCCCTGTCACTGAGCCAGGTGACCGTCTCGAAGTTGTCTCCGTAGGCCAGGGCATCGACCTCGGCGGTGTGGACGCCCACTTGTTGGAACTGATGCAGACCACCCGAGTGGTCGAAGTGAGCGTGGGTGGCGATGGCCAGCAGTGGGTTCTTCCTCTGCGGATCTTTGCCGAGCAGCCCCTTGGCGTCGATGTAGTCAGGTAAGCTCCTCAAGCCCAGACCAGTGTCTATCACTACGTCCTGGTGCGTTCCGCGGAGCAGCCAGATGTTAGCCCGGTTCTCTGACTGGTAAAATCGCTCCTGGATCCAGAAAAGTCCGTCTCCGAGCGATTTGTGAGCGTACCAGTCGGCTGCAGACATCCCAGTTCATGTACCTGTCGAAGTAAGCTGCTGTGGTGTCAGGTGATTTGGTAAGGGAGAAGCGTTACTAGCCTTAGAGCTAGAGATGATATGTTTTCATTGAGGTTGAATGATGGTGGCCATCGACACACCCTTTTAAGAGGAAAGCACGCTCATTGGGCGAACAGGAGAGTGACGATAGCCTAACGCGCGCTACTATTGGTTATAAATAGACCACGCCTTCTCTAACGTCACGTAGGGAGAGTTAAAGTTGCGCATGCAGCGTGTAGCGTGAGTTCATAGGTTTGTACGCTGGGCTGAGATGATGTTGGTTGTTGTTTCATTTGATTAACGTGTTCATTTTGTGGTTTCAAGAGGTAGTTTACGTGACGCACAATTAAAACGGGTCGCTGAACGTTATCTCAGTAAACTCAATATGTGAAACCATGGAGTAAAGGCTAAATGTCGCTGAATAGGTCTGAAATAAAAAGACAGTTGTTCTCCACATTAGTCGCAATTTAATAACAGTCCCCTAGTAAGTATTACGACTTACTGTATGTGTCAGTGTGTCTCAGATAGAATATGTGGACCAGCGTTGCACAGCAGGCAAAAGGCGAAGTCACATGAATTTGTTACACGTGTTTGGCAGTGAAGTTGACTGAACATGTGGGTTCTGTGCCGCAGGTACGCAGGAGGCTTGCAGCTATGGCAGGGAAGGGTCGTGGAGTAGCTGCCTTTACGTTCAACATTGAGGCGCTGGGCATCGGCAGGGGCTGCATGCCAGAAGCCAGGGTGGGGCCCAGCCCGCTGTTTCCTGTAAGTACTGACCACACACAATACAAATGGAGAGATCCAACAATGACGCAAACCCTTATGGCACTAAATCAACTCCACAGTGTTAGTTGACAGCTGCAGAGAGGCAGGTGAGAGTTACAAGGGTTTTGAACGTGTGCCTTCCGTTGTAACAAAAATGCAAGCTGTGAAATATGTTGTTTTTGTACTTGTATAAAGATAACAAAATACTGGGTAAAGGAGTATTTGTGTCATGTTAAAAGCCTGTACCTATTTAAAAACACTCTTCCAAACTAATCGTCAGCTACCATGTCTCCATTATTAATTAATCTTCGCCCTTTGGGTCTCTGTTGGTCCCCTTTCCTCAAACTCCATGCATTGTGCATGCATCCTCGTACAATGAAATGCCCTTCAGGTCCATTACACACTGCACACTGTGCAGTGACAGCTTGTTTGTACTTTGTGCACCAGACAGTAGACCAGTCATGACATTGTGATTGGGTGGTGTGTGTATATATAACTTTGCATTTAATCAAATCACCATAAATGTACCCAAGACTTTTAAGAGTCAGTTTGCCCCTTGTTTAGCTGTTTCAAGATGTTCTGTCTATGTGAACATCAGTCATACAGCATGATTATTTTTCAATTTCACCAGTTCATTATTCTTTACATGGGCTTGACTGTGTGAAGATATCTTGAATCAGCCTAACAACAGGTACTAATTAAATTTTTGTATTTAAACAATTGCCCAATATTTTGAGGCAGTTAATTCTTACTTGTACAAAAAGGATATGCATTATTACATGCCAGACTTAAATCAGCATGGGCTACATTTTAATTGTACATTTGTCAATTCATTCAGTTTAGGTTTACATAACTGTTGGACTTTATTGCTGTTATCTCCGTTCCACTATCTCTTCTCCTCTAGAGCACAGACTTCAAGCCGGTTCCGCTGAAAGCTGGCGAGGATGAGGACTACATGCTGGCCTTGAAACAGGAGATGAGGGGAACGATGCAACGGTTGCCACATAACATCAAGTTTCGGGCCAATAAAGCAGGTGAGGAGGAGAGTAGTGCATTTGAAACCTGACATCTGATAGAGGCGCTATGGCAGGACAGTTGGCTGCTGTGAGGGAAGATAATGCAGCACTTACGAACTGAGGCATTTAATTAGGGTTATATCTGGGAAGAGGAGAAAGAGGCTGATTTATAACCGAAATATTTGGTCACAGCTGCTGTTTCATTGGTGGTTTTAGTATTATTTCTATGGTATCTCAGTCTACTTAATCAGAAATGAGCCACATACTGTATATCCATAACAAGGTAGGTTTTTTTTTTCTTTTTTTCAGGATGTCTTGTCCTGAATGTTGCCAGATGCATCATTTAGGTGTTTTGTATTAACAAAACAACATGCTAACTGTAAATCCAATAGACTTGGTCATATCTATAACAATCTGTAAGAGTCATTCACTTTGTTTGGGACTGGCATATGAATCTATGTCCAAACATACAGTATCAGACTATGATTTGCTGCTGCTGTGGAACAGGAATCAGGAGTAGCACCCAGCAGCTTGTGTTGACACTTGTGATTCTGACTGCACAATGTGATGTGAGAGTAAACTGGGCCTTATTTAAGAGTGCACTTAGGTGGAACTTGCTCGTTTACATGAAACAGAAGTGGAGAAATACACAGAGCGATACCTGAAGCAAAGCCAGATGGAGGATGACGAATGGACTCCAGGTGCTTCTATAACACATGGCATTACAGCAAATTGAGGAAAAAATGGAAAATTCTGTAAGTAATATTGTTGATATTTCAGACTGGAACCTCTTCCCAAAAGAACTGATGCCCAAAAAGAGAAAAACCCTTGCTAAAGCAGGTATAATAAAGATATTGTGTGTCATGAGAATTCATGGTATAACTACCAGAATGAAGACGATGTTCAAATCAACAGGCACAAAAAAGAAAACTGTGAAGATAACGCGCAAAGCTGCAGAAGAAATGCTGAATAAACTGGATGTAAGTTTCTCTTCACGTTAATGATTTTGTCCAACTCTGGACTGATGAATATCTGAATCTGAGATTACTTTGTAACCTCTTGCAGCTTCATGCAAATAACCAAATCTTGGTTGTAAAGCCTTCAAGATCTCTTTTTGTGCAAGGCATGCTTCACATTAGTACGACTATTCTTGTGAACGCTATATCTCATGAACACCTTGACGGAATTTCTTCAAATATGATACAAGTGCTCAGTTTGACTCACTAATGAACCGATTAGATTTTGGTGGTGAAAGGTCAGAGGTCAAGGTCACTGTGATCTGGTGTTTGTCCCATTCTTGTGAATGCGATATGTCAGAAATGCCTTGAGGGAATTTCTTCAAATTTGGCATAAGTGTCCACTTGGACTCAAAGATGAACTAATTAGATATTGGTGGTCAAAGTTCAAGGTCAGTGACCTCACTTGTACTGTAGCCATGAATTTGACTGGTTGGCGGAGGCATATAACCACTAAACGGTAATTTTTATTTTATTTTTTAAATCAAAGTAGTTTTAATCCACTAATATCCTTTCATTGACTTGATATGCTGTCTCCTGAATCCAGTTAGTTTGTAGTTGGTGTAACTAGCCTAGGGGTTTTTCATATCAACCTGCAAATATTTGAACACCACATTCAATATGGACAAGAACAGTTCACTGAAATACATACAGTATACTGTACCTGAGCTAGCAAATTTTTTACCCTAATTTAATCTTTAATGTCAATATTTAAGGAATTGGCGAAGAAAGATGACAAGAACCCTGAAAAATCAGATGAAGAAACTGAAAAGAAAACACAGAATGAGGATGAAGAGGAAGAAATTGAAGAGGAAGAATATGAGGAAGAGGACATTGAAGAGGTTAATTACAAATGATAACATGACATCATTATTGCTAAAATGTTAAACAACTTCATTATGGTCAATATGTCTGGTCCAGAATTAATGCTGTACGCCACTCATGTTTCCTTTGTGTAGGAAAACGACTACATTGAAAGCTATTTCGACAATGGTGAAGATTTTGCTGCCGACAGTGAAGACAACATGGATGGAGAAGCAACATACTGAGATTGTGACTCGACCATGCAAACTCAAGTAAACAATCACCGGGTGACTTTCACTTGGTTCAGTACTGTGGATAAGAAAATAGTTTTGTTTACTTTTTTTTTTCCCATAAAGACTTGTGTAAATAGGAAATGCCAAACTATGTGCATGTTGCCAATAATTTATTCAAAATAGATATATTTATTCTCCAGCCTGTAGCACACTTCCACAGGTTGAAAGGCACGTACTGTCAACAACACAATGCTTTTTCATAAAATGTCAAGTGAGCACAGTGATTAAAAAATAAAGGGCTATATAACAAGGTCTAACATTTCATATAATTACAAGTATGAGTAACTTCCAATACTGATGGTAAAGACCAATGCGCAATAGTACTGAAATAAATTAATTGCGTTAAATGCAGAGCAAGCTATCATAACTTTCCAACAAAGTTTTATAAAGTATACAACAATGTTACCATGTACAGGAAATACAGCTAGACCAAAGTCAATAAAAACCGCTTAGAATTCAAATACACAGGACTGATGGTTCATTGAGGCATGGTCACTGATCCATCTGTAAACAAAGTGGTTACAGTAATGTTGTCTTTCTTGGTTTGTTTTTTAACTTGGATTCAATTTGTGATGCTTAGTGAAAATGCAACAGCACAAAAACTGCCTCATTTTCTGCCCATCGACACTCGGAAAAACAAGTATGGACTCAGTGGACCGACGCAAGGAATGATTGTGGCCTTATTCCTAGTCTCTCTGCCTTACAAAAATGAGTTGTCGCTATAAAGTGACTGTTGCAGTATCAAGTCAAAAACTCAAGTGAGAACGTCCACTCAATTTTATTAGGTCTATGAGCTAGCAACAAATTTGAAAGCAAAGTCATAATCCCTTGCTATTTGTTTACAAGTCCACCATCTCCTGCTCTGTCCACACCATGTCCCTGGGAATCTCCATTAATCACATTTCCAACATGCTGTCCAGGTCCAGCCTCTACATGGTCTTTCCCATCAGAAAGGTCCAAATTATTATGGTGGTGTTCATGGGGCCTGTTGTCATTAGGAATGCCATCAGCTGATGTAGGAATTCCATGACGGCTGATGTCAGTTTTCATGAGAACCTCGTAGTACAGCAGATAAAACACAGGTGTGACAATACCAACAATTAGCATAATGGCCACAGCCGTCCACCATCTCATGCCCCAGTCTGCCCCGTAGTAAGGGTCCTTTCTTTGTGCTGGTTTATACTCTACTTCTCTTAGCAGTGGCTGCTGCAGCGATAAGGAGGATACGACCTCATTCAGGCTGCTCCGGGACGGGCCTGTGGATTTCACCAATCGCTCAATGTCCTTGTCCTTTTCGAGGAGGAATCCTTCCACACTGTCTGAAGACGAGGAGTCTGTGGAAGACTCCGAAGGGAGGGAGGTAACAGGAGAGATCTGAGGCAGGCGCTTGGCACCTGACGGGGTGGCAGGGGAGGCAGATTTGATGGGTCCAGTGCTGTGACTCTCAGTGAGGACACTGAAACGCCTCACAGGAATCTTAACTGAGCGCAGGGCAAAAAAGTCCTGCTCTGTCAAGAGGTTGTTGGCTCGCTTAAGATCAGCCACCTAGAAAACACACAGATGAATTTAGTGAAACTGTTTGAAAGATAACGCTGGTGATTTAAGATTTACTTTCCACAAATCTTTGAGACTAAAACCAACATTGAATTTTGTGTATTCAACATAAAGTCTGCGAATCCAGAACCTGGTTGAGCTTATTCATATGTGCTGTGCCACTGTTGTCCTAAAGCTATTCAAAACAATTCTGCACTGGGTGACATGTTTGTTCCTCATTAAATAGATGAGGTTTTTTTTTTTTCTTTCCTGACTTGGGGGGGAAAAAAAGGCAAAGGTGGCTTCCAAAACTTAAGTCGTTCATTTGAAATGAAAATAACTTAGTTGCTCAGAATGTATATGGAGTTTAAGCATGTTTGTATACATGTGTAATGTAACATCTAAAAAGGAAAACTGCCTAATACCTATTATTGAGAGGTGAAAAAAAGGCAAAAGACATACTGAACAGTGGTACTGCAGGGCAATGCTGTTCAGGGTGTCGCCCTCCTGGATATCCCTGGTTAGGTAGATTATATCAATCCTATCTCTGGACGTGCTGCTCCGCAGCCTCTCTCTGCCACGTGGGCGCAGCTCATAGCTCTCCCCATCCTCCTCTGACAGGTCATTCTCTGAGCTGTGGTTTCCAAATAGATAGGCATGACTGCCACTGGAAGGCTGCACCATGGTGGCTGACTGGAATCCATAGTGCTGGCTTCTACTGGACATTTTTTTTTCTTCACACTATTGGGGAAAAGCAGAGTCTTGAGTACTTGGAGGAAGAAATGAAACCGGTTTAAAGTAAACCTTACAAACTACATACAGATGGAAAATAAATGGACGGCATTTGTTAAGGTGTAACAGTAAAGCTAATACACACTGCAATTCTGCAACTGAAACGAGGATGATCAGCACTACTAAAAAAAGACAAAAGTCCATCTCACTGGCACTGCTGGGTACTAAGGTTACAGATAAACTAGATTAGTCCGATGTTATGTTGAGATGTTTCCCCCTAAAATGATCCTAATCACAAACACACAGGTGGCGCTACTAGAAACACAGTTTGTACGGGGAAACATACTTCGACACAAAACCGGTCTTGTGTCTTAAAAGTGTTACCCCGTCGAGATGTGTTCCCCCTGTTCAAAACTCTGTTCAACTGGTTGTGGTTAGGATAACATTGGGGTTTAGGTTAAGGGAAAGATTTCGACACAACGCCGGTGCTCGTTCCAGTACGATTAATGAAATTGCAGGCAGTGCATTCATTCGTCTATATGTCAAGGTATTTTGTAATGTTAACCTCTCTCCGTTACCTATCATGGCAATGCGAGCATCAACAGTTAACCTAATGCGACTTCTTGTCGGATATCATTACCTTGACGTTCATGTATTACAGCCGCTGAGCAAAACAGGCCAGGTTAAGTTACTACTTTGTACTAAATTACAGATTCCTGACCAACGTGATGTAATGTTTGCTAAGTTAGCAGCTAGCCATGTAAGTTGATGCGTTAGCGTTAACCACAAGCATACCACCAGTCTTTATTGAGCACATTGGGATGTGATTAATAAGCTAAGACTGCTATCAGCTTTTAGTTTAACGTTATATAAGTTAATGTTTTGCTAACTAAGCCATTAGCTAGCTACAGCTAAAACAATAACATTGGTTACTCATTCTACAACCCAGTAGGTCTCATTCCGAAAAAGTCCAGTCGATATCGCATAGGAATATCGTTAATTACATACGTTTAGGAAGACGCCCGTTTAATCAGCACTACATCACTGGTTTCAATGAACTGTCAGGTCGGTGTTGTACTAAAAGGAGTGTACAGCAAACGTCCACAGTTCGGCTTAGTTAGTGTACTGAGGACCGTCCACACGAGCTAAGCTAGTGCTAAACGTTCACCTATGTGGCTAGTACGGTTTGTAGAGTTTTATCGGTCAGTGGTCATAGCTGATAAATAATATGGATGAGGGGAGTCGTGAACACTTGCTTTTACCTGCCAAAATAAGCACCAAGAGATCAGTTGTCCTGAAAATTATCCATATTTTAAGAGGAATATGTCCAGGTTCAACCTTCCGTTTCATGTGTACTAGCTAGTAATGTTCAGCGGCTACCGCTCACGCCACGTCAACAAAATAGCTACGTAATGACGTTATCTCTGATGACGCCAGTAAATCCTACTTTTAATCACGAGATGGCGCTATACGTCAAGTTTGGTTTTGGTTGTTTTATATGAAGAGATTTTGGCTAAAAGTTAGTATTTGGTTATTTTCGTATTCATGTCTGTATTACTTAGATTAAAAAATTGTACTTTTAATAAAAAATACAAACTAGTCAGCACGTCAAAAGTTGGCTGTAGTGATTTTTGAGGGTGATGCAGTCTACTGAGACTTGATGCAAACTCAAACTGTGTCCATTTGATTGTGTTGCAAAAATGTTTGATTTCGAGATCATCATGTATTAATTTGCAAAGTTTATTTGGAACGATGATAACAACGGAGAGAAAGACAGCAGAGAAAGACGGAGAGTCTGCTCGGCTCACAGGGTGGAGCTGTCCGCCACCACACTGTGAATACACGAGTGGGATTAAAACATCTTGTCTCATTAGGCACTGACCAGGACACGAGCCGTAGTACATAAGTAGCTGCAACCTAATCTGTATGTCTGGACCGCGCATACAGTAGCAATAGCTCTCATGTGGCTGCAGGAGCCCGGGGCCCTGTGCAGAGAAAGGAGAAGGCGTTGAACAGACTGAGAACCGCTCCGTTTCTGTTATTTTCCCCAGCTTCAGAGTTGTTCACCGGGAGCTCAAAGCTGCCGAAGAAATAACAAGATTTCCTGGGCTTTCTGTTTTTGCAATCAAACATTACAAAATGATGCATTGGTTACGGTTTGAGAAGAGGAGGAGATGAAGACCCCGAGAGCGCTTATTGATGTTATCCTCAACACGAAAGATATTGTAAGAATTTATCGTGGACAGAGGCCGAGCAAGGTGTCAGGTGAGATGGAGTGATTTATCTTGTTTCACTTTAAATATGATTCCGTTTGTCATTTAGGATAGCCTAATAGAAAGTATGTGTGAGGGCAGGCAAAACTTTAGTGGACTAATTTCACAAAAAGACTTGATATCGTTTTGTGACATGGTTACAGGGCTCTAGGACAAAGCAGACGTCTTGGATTTATTTCTCAGTAAGTGAGTCAGTAATGATTGGTGACTCCAGCGCTTTGTCACTGGTGGATAAATAGTGCAAAGAATAAAAGGAACAAACGAGTAGCGATACTCCTCATCAATTATGCCAGACAGCTCAAGCAGACATATTGTATAACACCATAAGAAAACGATTAAAAGTGGTCGGCCACTGCTAATTTCTTTTAGTGCTGTGCCAAAACTCCCCTTGAAGCAGCTAATAAAATTGAAAAGCCTAAATATTGATTCGGCGCAATCAGTAAATGAATGGCCGGGTAGCCCATTGAGGAAGGAGACAAACGCTTCCATGGTTACATCCAGGATCTCCAGTGTGATTACCGCGCTTTGTGTGGGTTTTCTCTCTCCCACTGAAATGAAACCACAATTCAGAGGGAACTACCACACATGTTGTGCTGGGGACCATCTCATAAAGCCTCTGTTGACTAATCCATAGGTTTACTCGGGCCATAAGTAATCTTGGCACACTTTGAGTTACGCACATGTGCTGCTACTGTTATATTAACGAGCGGTGTCGGTCCTCATTGTGCTTCCCCTGCTTTGCGTATTTTACGCAGATGTCCAGGCGCTATAATTTACACCAGCTGATGGGATGGCGTTTTCAGTTCTTGAATAACTGAATATGTCCACCTAATCTCTAGTTGATTTGACATGATGTCATCTTTGTGCGTCCCAAATTTCTTTTGCAAATCTCTTTTGTTGCCTCCTCTGCCGTGCCTCAGCAGAGTTAAATCCCATTTCTCACTGGGGAGAAAAGGAGGGAACTGGTTTTGTATCCATTCAGCACTTACACCTGCTCTTCTGCAGAGCCAGCCTGCACAGTTAACCATTTCTGAAATATATCTTTGTATGAACAGATGAAATTATTGACTCAAATGAAGATGAATCCTCTTCTTTTGTTTGTAAAGTAGCTAAACCTGCTATGAAATGTTCAGTTTTATTTCCTCAAACCCGCATGTCACAGTCAGCCTGTTCGGATCTTCTAAGATTCTCACTTGTTCAGAGCTCAGGTCCTTTGTTTGTCAGTGTTTGTGTCATGGTCTGGAAGTGGTCAGCCCTGAGTTGCCCGTGTGAGGGTCTGAATGTGATTCACTGGGCGGAAACTGTTTTACTGCCTGCCTCTCTCTCCTTCTGTCTCCCCCCTAATGGCTGCACAGTACAAAAAGGGACAGTGCCATAAACTGAGCCTGCTCATTGATGAAAGGTACTGAAGTGTTACACATTGCAGACAGGATGAGATTTATGTTTCCTGAGGATGAGAGGACTTGTCTTCTCAGTGTATGGAGACAGAAGGAAATAGTGGACAAGGGCACAGCTCTACATACACTTCACCGCCCCGCTACAGGCTGTGCCCGCTTTTGTGCATCATAGATCATTGTTGGGGACAAGAGTTCTAAAGCGTCTGTTGAATGAAGGACATTTTTTATGTTTAAACAGAGCTTTGCATATCTTCTCTGATAAATATGATCTTTCTCGTGACAGTAGTTCTAAATTGCTTCCAGTGCTAGTTAAAGATAAGTTACTCAGTTGTTTTCTGAGTCTTACCATGTCCTTGTTAATAATCAAATGAACAGTCAGACCCAGGTTTGTTTTATTTTAAGTAGCCTAAACTAAATGTGAAAGGTTATAGTTGTATTTTCCTTAGTGGGCGATCTGCATTAACATTTGTCATGATGTGGGAAGAGAAAACCAACAGACCTACCTGCAATACAGCACTTATGGTCTGGCTTTCATTCCCTCCACCTTGAGAAGATAAAATATTGTGCCTACTTTCCCACTTATCTCTCAAATTAACATTTCTTTTAGAAGTGCCACATATTAGAACATTTCATATTCCCTTGCTGCAAGGCAGTCCAGAAGTGCACCTTAAACCCACCTCTCCATGTTGGAGGCTGCCTGGACTTACTGAATGCTTATTTGAGTTTCAGGAACCATAGGTGTTAACAATTTTGAAACATCAAAACAAATTCCAAAGAGCGTTTTAGAGCAATAGATTATCGGTCGTACATCTATGCAGGCACAGCTGAGACCTGGAAGGTTTATCTATGCTTTTTATACCAACAAAATATTTTGTTTGTTATAAAAAAAAAAAACTACAGAAATCTAGATAAATGATTTGGGGGAAAAGAAGCATTAGGAGAACTGGGACAAAGAGCAAAGATGTTTGCACAGACAGAGGTTTAAGGATAATCATTCTAAAACAAGTTAGTTTAAAGCCATATCATTCAGTGTTTGGTGTCATTTCAGTATATTGCTTCCTGATTATGTGATATTTGGCCGGTGTGGGGGAATAAAGGCTCTGCTGTTGGCAGGCAGTATAATTACAGCTCTCAACTCCGTGAGGAGGCATTGAAGAGAACAGGGGCGTGCTGTAGGTTCAAAGGATGAAATACAAGTGCAGGAAAATCCCCAAAAACAGCACAACATAAAAAAGGTGTTTCATAACTTTCTTTTAGCATTGAAAATAATCTATTTTAATGCTAAGACCTGCTGTACAGTAGCTGCTTTCTAATGAACAGTTGCTGTGCTCCCCAGTGGCAAATAAGCAGGAGCTACATTAGTTAATTCACATCATCCTGCAGTGCAACTGGACTGGGATCATCAGGTCTGATGCCACTGCAAACCTTAATGAAGTTTATTTTAGATTATAGATACATTAAAGTCATTATTTTCTTTTAGTGTCCACTGGGATTTTAATACTTGGTATTCACAAATCATTTGACAGTTCATGCTTGCACACAGGAGACAGTATCATGTTTTAGTAGTGTTATGGAAAAGTGTGCTATTATAAAAATTGCCACCACAGTAGTTGTTGTCCTTGGAGCAGAAGGACAGGAAAATGGTGGGCCGTCAGCAATGGCCAGTGATCCTGAGGTTTCTTTAGAGGGCCTGACCAACCACATATTGTTTTCGGTGAGGTGATTCTAGTACGGTCATTACAGCATACCCTCGGCCATGACCTCGCTGTCAACTCTCATAATCTCACATTCATACACATACTGACACACCTGTTGTTACATCTTGCACCCTGTCCAGGCAACGGGGAGCCCTCCTACATCTGCCCATCTCCATTTGAGTATTAAACTTGAACTCTGACCTCATGTCAGATGGGTCAACCTCAGAGCCTTTTCTGGTTGCTGTGCTGTGGATAATGCATGATCAGTTCCTCTGATAGTCCAGAAGTTGTAATGAACACAGTCCACCATAAATGGTAAAACATCTATTTTTGTAATATGTCCATTACATTCTATGGTAATTACATTGAAATCCAGTTAATTAAAGCAGCTGTATTCCCTTTCAACTTGCAGACTGCATGGGAAATCTGCGTAGGAAGTGCACAGAGAAAACTCCTTGACTCAGATATCAAAACAGAGAAAAGTAAAAGAACATTTAGGAAGGATGTTTCCTCTGGTCCACATTAGCTTGGCTACACTTTGTGTAAATTAAATTAAGTTTCAAGGACTGTTAAGTGCATGGATTTTTTTTTTTTTTGATCTCTAAATGAGTTTCTAACTTCACACAACAAACCTTCTTCACAGCTTTATTTGATCAATTTTGTTGCTTTTCTCTAATCAGAGATTTATTTTATATGCACAGAACCCTGTGTCTTTCTGTCCGGCCATAAATTCCCATAAGGGATAAACCTTGCCTGGATATTTTTGGGGACCGGCGTGGACACATCCCACGGTGCCTCCGGCTCTCTGTATTACTTCAGAC